ACGTAACTGCACACACACACACACACACACACACACACACACACTAGGACCGATTTGGCCACTGGGGACGAGCGTGCACTGGAACACTGATGTTGGTCGAAGCTGTGTACACGGATCCGGGGGAATAACCTGAAGGATAACGCAAACAAAGAATCATGATAAGCTTAATTGTTCATGAAGTCAACCGATATCATATTTTTATGTCGATTGTGAAAAGTTCAGTAGCCTCGTTGGGATTCGAACCCACGTATGGACGCCGCCTACGCTTTTGTACAGCGCACGCCCTACCAACTGAGCTACGAGGCCACACCGATGGCACTGATCTTTTCACATACGAATTACCCATTCAACACAGAGGCATCTACCAGTCAGCCAAACAACCATTTGAACGATATCATAATGTTGTACATCCGTGTTGTGAACTGAGCTTCTGATGACGTATGGACAGGATGTTTACAGTTGCTGTTCACACATTTCTAATAAGTTAGTCATGAGTTTTGTACAGAGCACATTACAAGTTATTCGGACGAAATCAACTCGGTAAGTTATTATTGAATTCAGCTATAAAGCTTTGCTATCTGCAAAAACAGCATTGCCAGTAGTGATAGTAGAGACTGGTCTTTGTTGTACCCAGTGTCCGGGGCAAAGCCCGAGGTGACGTGTAAAGACAGATGGAGGAATTGGCGCGAAGCAAAGAAATACATATGGTAAGAGTCGAAATTCATTGAAATCGTGTGGTTCGAGATCACCCAATTTTGAGATCAAGTAAGTTACGTGGACTATGGATAGTTTTCTTCGTGAACGTGAACCGTAACATCTTTTATTCACTTTGAACTATTTTTTTCTGCATAACCAATCTCAGGTAGTCGTAATCAATTATGCTATCTTTATTATCACCAGCATTTTAAGCAGTTTTTCCCCTCGTGACTGCCATTGCACAAAAGAAGAACGAAGCACAGACGTAGTTAATTTCGTGATTCTCGATGAACCTCCGTAAGTTTGAGTAATCCTCGATCAAGTCTATAGCTTATAGTCGATCGTAAATAAGTATGTATACAAGTAATAATAAAACTCGTGCAATATCCTGACTTTTATCACCTTTGTTACTCCCCGAACGCTTAGTGTTTCGAACCTCATTCACCGGATCGAATAAGCTGTTGCCCCACATCAGACGCAACATATTTGTACTAATATATATACTTATCTTTGTTGCTTCTATTAGTCGAATGCCATTCAACTTACTTACGGAATGAAACAATATTAACTAATTAGAATACGTTTGTTGACCACCATAAATATCCTCGAGAATCAGCAATCATTTATTAGAAAGAGTCAACCTCCATGCTGTTTTCCATTAAATGTTTGTTTTGTTCTGTACTGTAACTTCGGAACTACTACAAACTTCATCACTACACTCAGAATCGCTCAACTTCACACGGTGATACAAGAGAACTAAGGACATTGCATTGGGAGACAAAGTTCGGAATGGATATTCCTCACCGATAGCTGTCGATATACACGTATGGAACTGGGAATTAAAACGCATTTCCAAGTTGCGAGTCATCTTGCATGAGTTTGATTCATAGATTCATTTTACATCTCCCACATACGAATGACTCGTGATTGCTCAGTAGGCTGCTTCGAACTCTATAACCATCACAGTCAGGTTCCGTTAATGGGGCAGACATCTGTTGTGATGACAAAATGTTGAAAATCGGTTCTCGCAGCTCGGGTGAACTGAATTCCGTTTCGCCTGTTTACCGAGCTTGCCAAGCACGGATGAAGTCACCTCGGTTGGTGATGAAACGTTTGCAAACAAATTGCCAAGCTCGGCGAACAGGCGAAATGGAAATCTGTTGCGCTACCTAGCAAGAGAACAGAACCTGATAATCAGCACATTTCAGAGATAAGGGTAACATGATGTACAAGATGGCAGTATACTAAAAAGTTACAGATCACTTAAAACATTTATTTATAGATGTTATGCGATACATCTTCCCTTTGAACCAAATTAAACGGCTCGCCCGCATATCAATCACTTTATGAGATATCTGTTTAACATTGAAATATGGTTTCAACACAATTAGGAATCCACTACAGTTTGTTTATCCGCTATCAGAACGGAATCACTGAAACATACAAACCGTTTCACACATAAATCCATTTAGAATTTCACTCACTTGGATTGGGGTACACAACGGGCTGCGGTGAACCCAAGTTCATCGGTGGTTGGGCCATTTGTGGTTGTTGATGGGCCGGTGTTGGCACTGCCCATCCAGATGTCTGACCCGAATACGATTGTGTTTCCCATGTCGGTTGCCCCATTGTACTACCCTGATCCCATCGCGAGGCACCACGATCACTGGCATAACTTGGCTCGTACGGAGCATAGACCGGTTGTGCGTAGTGGACCGCCTGAACCGGGACCACAGTCTCCCGACCTGTCCAACCGGGTTCATTTTGCCCGGTCGAATCGGGCATGGATCGACCTAAATAGCCCTGATTTGGATTCTGTCCATACGCCCGCATATATGAGCTGGGAGTGCCGGAAGCTGGCAAACCGCGCGCACCTTGGAAGTGTTGTTTTGTGTGAACGACCGAGCTGGGTGATTGTCCAGAGGCCAGTTGTTCTTCCAGTATACGAATTGATTTGGTTTTAATGGAACGAAATGAGCGACCGCGGGAGATGGCCGGTTCTACACGTGGACTGCGCGCGACTACTCCTGGACCGGGGAACGAAAACTGTCGATCAGGATAAGCAGTTGCTCCGGGTGGTGGACTCCGCGGAGTGGTTGGCAAAGCTTTCGGTGCAAGCTGAGCGATTTTGTCCAGGTCTACTCCGCGTCTATTAAATATAAAATATGACTTCTTCAAATCTAGATCAACGGAGAATCTTGGAATCTTCGAGTAGAAATTTCAAGTGGTAAGCAGATAAATTCATTTCATTATATGTAACCTATCTGTAAACTAAGGAAATCACCTATTTGTTTAGAAGTGCAATATTTGTGGAGAGTTAATGTTTTAAACACCACCGGATGACCTCTGAATTACTGAGCTTTCTCTTCTCTAAGAAGCTCTATCGCCAATTTCTGGGAATCATCAGCGCTATGGATGTTCATCAAAGCCACTAAAATTCAAACTAGAATACGAGTAATCGTCATTCCGTCACACTTGTCCCCTAGATTACCTGAACTGTTGCTCAGCAGCTTGATCTATCATAACACAGAACATCATATTGCTCACCCCATTTGACAATGAATCGTGTCGAATATTGACAGACAACGATCGCACTCCGGATACAAGTCTGTGCAACAGAATCCTCGTAGGATTAGTCAGGACTTCTGTTTCTAATTCGCATGTCTCACATAAATTGGGAGTTTTTTTTCTTTCATCGAGACAAATCTATCAGAAAGAACCAGCATGCTAATCGAATCTACCAAATAAAAGTTAACTTTTTGTTCACCTTTAAAATAACAAAAATAACATGAAATAGGCAAGCAGCCGAGCTGGATATTTTCTGGGGTGTTTTAAATGCCAGTATGGTCGAAAAAAGAACCTATGATACTCTAAACTACGGTATTCAACGATTCAGGCTCATCTGACCAGGCGCACAGATTGCAGCATCCCGGTTTGCAAATAATGAAGGCATCATAGAGCATCAGGATCAAGAAACTGCCCATTATTTTATCGTGAAATCATGTCGGGTTAATGAATTAAAGTTTTGACAACAACTCATTACTGTCAGATCAAAATTCACAAGGAAATGCCTATTCATAGTTCGAAGTGAACGCAAAGCGACGATATCAGATGGTTAACCTCACTCCTGTTAGTTTTTCAGAAACTCATTCATATTAAACAGTGCGTGATTTTCAGCCACTTGCTGTTTCATGCATCAAGATCAGTCACTCATTCTGACATACACGAAGACAATTTTATATTTGATGACTAAGCAACAGTGGTAGAAGGACAATTAATGGCATATCTGAAAAATGACGACATCTACAAATGAAATCGCGGGCTTTGTTTATCAATCGTCAAAATTCATGCAAAACAAAACGATTTTTAATTTTAAGAAAGTGCATTAAAATTGGTCTCTTACTAGAATCATTCGAATATTGAAAGGAAACGGGAATGAACGGTGTTTGTAAAATCTGATACTTTTCACAATCATTAGCATCATCCGGATTATTCTTAAAACAGGTGGTATTTTCTTTCTCTGTTGGAGCTCAAAAGATTTTCACATCAATATGACTGGGCTTTCACGCAATGACGTAACACAAGTCCACACACCTTGATGAGTAATGATCATTACTCCTCCATTTTGTCATTTGTTTGTTTTTAAAAGTTATCCTCGACAGATATTGGTTTAGCATGACCGTAAAGATCAATCTAGCTATCATTCCGTTTACATATGAAGTACTGTAGTGATAACCTATCTGTTTACGTTTCATATTTATGAATAAAACGGCAGAGATAACCACGTCAATATGATAGAGATATATGAAACTAGAGGCTTTATGTGATGCTCAGCATTTAGAAAACATTTTGAGCGACCGGGAAATTTCTAATAGGCAATTAAAATGAATAACAAATCAGTTTGGGCACTAAGGGATTGAAATACCGCTTTCAGTGCCCGTATACACAACTTCCTTTCTTCCACTCGAGATGTTTTAGACCATAAATAAACAACGATTCGGCTCAGTTGAAAGCGCGTAACCAATAGCTAGCTATACGCGGGTCCCAAGCATGAATCGGATGAATCAGTCTCGACGAGACAGTTTACAAAACTATTTTCAACGCTATGCGCCACTGGTTATGAAAAAGCCTAAGGTACCGTGTAAATTGCAGATCCCGACAAAACGATTCCCGGACAACTTACTTGATCAGAACAAGATCCAACTCATTGCCAGCACGGAGTATATCCGCTTTGAGTTGCTCCTGTGTCTTGCCGACAGTGAGTGAGTTGCATATACTCACAATCACATCGCCCACTTCCATTCCGTGTTGGGCAGCGAGAGATCCACTGGTCACCTGATTCAGCCAAGGCCGTTCAAACACACCGAGGGTGAGAGCAAGGTGACAGAATTAGTCTACTTTCAGACACATGCAGCATGAGAGTTACAAGAGAAAAAAAGACAATTTATGTACCTGATTAACATAAAACTTCTCAATCAGACCGACATTATATACACAGGAGTTTATTTTTCCGTAAGCAAAACAACCACGTCCGCCGGTGAGTAGTGTGTTTCTATTCCAGCCATTTAAACATTTCGTAATTTATAAGAACAATATGATCAATAAAGAGTGCATGAATACTACCGTGATTCATAAATATGATACTGGCATTATTGTGGTATGATCAGAATCTGTGGTTCGGCCGATGATGAAACATTTGCGTGGAAATTGTCCAATGTGCGAATGGTCAAAATTGAGATTATTCTCGTGGTGCATTCGGTATTTGGAAATGGCTTGGAATAATCCGACAAGTAATTTGTTGTTAAGCATAGGCATTTTACCTGGACGCCTAGTTGGAGCTCATCAAGTCTAAGTGATCAGGATCGAGAGGAAAAGCATTCCGGCAGATCAGTCTCTTTAAAACCCCAAAACTGTTATACTCTAAAAGACGAACGTTGAAAGCCATTTCATCGCAGCTGGTTTCAAGCCACTAATCAATCCATGGTAGAGACCTGAAATATTTAGCTACCTACTGTGTTGTTAAAAACAGAGATATAGAAGTTTATCTTTTATTTCATCCAATCAGTTCTCTTCAACATTTTCATGAGAGAGAAGCTCGGCATTATGACCACAGGTGGTGTTCAGCTTAACTGTACCGCGGTAATTCTATCAGCTGTGTACATACATTCAGATTACGTTTGCTTAAAAGAGTGTGGTGATCCCAGCCTGAGAAATGACTCACCCTGGAGCGACAGGTTACAGTTTTAGGACAACTGTGGTCAATCAAACCTCATGGGTGACGTCAGCAAAGCGCGTGCGTGCCACAGCATCTGGAATACATACCATAGGTCGATTGTTCCAGCCAATCAGAAACCGTGCGGCCCAGACAGAAACTGAACAATGGCAGAAATACTAGAACGCAATTGACAGAGGCTCAGATGAACAATGAGCTTGTTTTGTACATATTATTTATTCCCCCATATTTCTTACGAAATACTACTCCTGTTGTCTTCTGCTGGAGTCTCGGTTAAGTGGGATATTGCGTGCAGGTGTCACTGTGATTCAACGCTTACTTGACGTCCGTGAATGCTAATCAGTGATTCGCATTCCACGTTCATTGCGTACTACTACTACTACCACTACTATTACTACTACTACTACTACTACCATCAATACAATTACTACCGGTTTGGGGACATGCGAACACACACGGAGAAGAGAAATCAATCAGTACGAAGGCCAAAGGTCACTAATATGAACCGGTTTGGGCATCGGGGCAGGGAGCGGAATCACTGCGGGGGTGGAGAGACGGGAGAGGGAGGGAGGCAGTGACACATCTACCAGGGTAACGCGAGGCTGGCTACGAATTCAATCTGCTTACATAAACCGGGCTTGTAACGTCAAACGGTAGCTGCCTCAGCAAACCGTATTAGACGGGTACCCTTCTGGCGGATCCAAACACGAAATATGTTACATTTGTCACATTCTTTGAAATCCAGTATAACTTCGATCAATTTAACTGGACGGGAGCATGGACCTGTTACACGCCTAATTCTCCGATGCATGCTCTGCTATCCCAGTACAAATTCGTCTCTTAGTTCTACCGACGTACTAGAACAAGCACATTGAAATAGGCAAACACATGCGGAGGTAACTAAAGGATCGGATTTGTCTGATTGGGTTTGGTGAGCATCCAATTCCTGTAGCACAGTATTATAAGGGAGGCAGCGTTCTACGTTCTTTCCATCGCTTATTTCAGCCTGCGATGTATCCGCCTGTCATTTTGATCATTTTGAACACAACTGATGAGATTAACACGAAATAGTTGTATTCAACATATCCTGTGATCTTGATGCTTCTTTAACTGTTATAATTTGATTATTTGGGGGAGGGGGGGTCGTAAATACCGATACATCTAGTAAAATAAATGTATAAAACATGACTATCCGTCTAAAGATGCTAGTTTTGACAACATTGTTCTTGGCTGGATCGTGCCAAGTACTTCTTGCTCCATTTCAGGCTTTCTACTCACTCTGTCAGCCGCGAAGCACATACAGCGAATAATGCTCACTGTCACAGTTTGGGGTTTCGGTGAGGGCCTACTTATTCGAGAGAGATTTTGATCAGAGATTCATCGCGCTGGAATCACGAGTTTGTGTGTGTGTGTGTGTGTGTGTGTGTGTGTGTGTGCGCAAATGTGAGTGTATATAGAAGTCGGAATAATGAGCAAATAATAAAGGGGAACTTGAAACAATCCTAACTAAGAGTTCACCAGGACAAAATCCAGTAATCAAGATAACGATCAAAGTGCTGTAGCTAACACAGGAACCCATGCTGCTAGAAACTTGGTGCCCGGAGTATCGTTTCACATGAAATTAGGAATGGAAAATTGGTTTCAGCGTTGGAAGTTGTTGAACGTAGATGATCCGTCTGAGATGAATGCCACCTGCACGACACCTGAAGGAAATCTGGCATCATTCACGAATCATGAGCCAAAGCTTTTAAAAACAATTCGTCTTATTCTTTTATTCACATCCACATTCAAAGTTCCGTTTAACTACATCATACTCACCCATTGGTTCCATCCTAACTAAATCACTACTGTGTTGTACATACTCTTCTCTTATCCTCAGAGGCTTTCTCAGACCTTATTCAACGGGTTTCACTCGGAGATTTATCAAGCGTAGGTTAGCAATCACCCATTTTCTCTCTAGTTATTCGGCCAACCATTCATTCTTCTAGGCCAATACTTACGTAGAGCAATACAAATGAATACTGCATGAATACAAAACGCCCTGCGTGGCAGTGAGTATGAATAACTGTTCAACAGATGTTTCTCTAGCCTTGATGTAATTGTGCAATGTCGAAAACCGATTTTCCTAACCCACCGGAACACAAATTGATCCCATTAGCATTTTATATACGCAGAACATTTCCTTCACTGTTTACAGTGAAGGCTTCAGCGGGTTTCAGCGCTGTGTGCCAGTGTAGCATTCGCTCTCATCGTTCCAAAAATGAGGAAGCTAGGCGTAAGGTTTGTAAAGATATGAGTAGATGTAGGGTGGCCTTATAGGCACTCCACGCAAGTTTCCTGCACGAAGTTTCTTTGTAATGAAATTATCGATATTCAGTGTGCAACTACTTGCGGTTTGTGAGTAATAACAACTGTTCGAAAAATGACAAGAAATGTGATTTAGTGATCTAAGAAAAAATTTATGTAGGGGACGAAGTGAAATCCATTTTTCCATTCACTCCTTTAATGCTGGTAAATATAGAATTATATCAGATTCACTCACTTCTTTCCCCTAGGTAGTGTTCCCTCAAAGTAACATCTATAAGTGGTCGCACGATTGTATAAAAAGCTTTGAGATTATGACAAACACAACCCACGATTCTATTTACAGACCGCTTTACAGAAATCGGGTGATTTGATTAGGAATGGGGAAAATAGTGATACTGGAACTAACTTATTGCAATCCAGATAGAAGAGGGGAGGCGATGATAAAAGCCAAACTATAAACTTTCCACGAGTGGTTGAATACTTCTGAAACCAAAAATCATCTGGAATGATGAGAGTTGGTATTTTTGCATTTACCTAAAATAATCCAATCATATATGCCATGAATTCCATCAGACAACTTTAAGGTAGGACTATGTTTGCTGTGACAAAAATCCGTATTGGGAGATTGAGAAACTCGGAACAGTCTGCTAACTGATATATGACAGATAATTAGTGGTGGTAGGATTCTGAGATAGAAATATCCTCGGTCTTGCTGAACTGATACCAATTTCACGGAATTCGGTATCTGTTCAAGCGTTCTGTTTGTATTTCGTATGATCAAACTCATTGTTCAGCTGGTGTATAGAAAAGGATATAATTTACACGACGCAAATCGTTGCCAGAAATTTGTTTTTTTGCATAATTTTTTTAAAATTTGCCATAAATAAACTTTTCCAGGATCTAGAAAAAGAAATGCGCAGCCGGCAGGTGCCTACCCGCTGAATGTGCCCAAATCTAAAGAACTAAATCTGAATTAAAAGCAACCCTTTTATACGATATCACCGCCAATGCCTCGTATCGTTGTTTGCTTATCTGTCTGTCTGTTCCAATGTTCGTCAAAGGTCATTGACAACTGACGTTATGTTTACAAATCTTGACATTCCGGTTGGTAGAATTTTGTGCCTCAAACATCCGGTGTCACCTTAGTACACGTCGTTGATCCTGACCTAGATTGTTCTCTTTCTATGGTAGTTTCACCTCAGAAACCGTATTTAGCCAAGTTGTAAGCAAATCCTTTAAAGAAAGCGATGGTTCAGTTGTTTATGTGCTACTTGGTATGTGTAGATGACTCCCGTGTAGGTCATACATGATCGTGTGTTTTCGCGTGCTAATAGCCGTTAGATCTCACTAATCTCAGTGTAAATGTGAGCTATAGTGAATCAAACTATTCTCCTAACGACTGCTGATGTAGCACACAGATCGCATTGCTGCATTTTCAGCCTCTTCTTTCATTCGTCTTGCTTTGACGATCTCCGGGTTAATGGCATCATAAAATACTCTCGATGTGCGTTGATGACAAACTAGAAGACCAATCGGCGACATACTAGTTTCCGGATGTTCGAGGCTCTCTCCTACATGTGCCCACCCAGATAAGCAACCTGTGGGAGGACAAGATGGATTCAGAATGATTTGGGCATCGAACATAAATAGTGATGCAGTGTTATTTTGTCCCTTTGCGTGGCGCTGATTTGCTACATGAGATCTTTCAAATGGTCGTGAAATTGATCAGACATCATTGTGCGTCAGATCTAGAAAATGTTTTCTCTTAATCCAATTACGAATCACACAAAAGTAC